GCAAGGCAAATGGTTTATGATTATAGAATCTAGCACGTATTTGTAAAAAATTTAGAAAGATTCTTTTTTTTTTAAGTTTATTTGCAATATCGTTATTTGTAGCTCTGTCCTTGGGCTTAGATAGTCCATTCACTCATGAAACAATTAGACTTGACAAATGTGTAATAATTCTCAAACTTTAGAGGTTGAATTAAAGAAAACCTAGAAAATAACATTAGGTGAAGTGACAATGAGTGAATGCACATATTAGGGAGAGAGAAGGATCCCAGTAACTCCTGTTGTGTTCAGTTAGACCGTAGCTGTTAAACCCCAGCTGATTTTTATGAGGAGTCACAGAGTGGCCCTGGATATCTTTGCATGAACAGAGGAGATCTGAAGGAATTAAAATTTACCTTCAGTGATCTTTCATTTTCTTTTCTTGTCTGAGTCTCTGGGTTCATTGAAGCCTTTGTTTTCTACCATTCTCCTTCTCAGACAGCATCCTGTGCTATTCCTTATAACAACCCTTCTTCTGTCATCTGTGGATAATAATAGAGGTACCTATGATCTATTAATAAAGATACTTGCAAGAGATAATACTTACACTCAAGATGTGTGTCAGATGATGGCAGGTAACTCAAGTTGGGGGAAGAGAGAACCAAATACCAACTCCTCCAGCAAATGCCTACCTGCCTTGCAACCCAGATGAAACTTCTATAAATAAAAGAGGGGGGAGCATGCACACAAAAACACTTACAACTTCACAGTCCTAGCAATGAACTAGAAGACCAGAGTTTGATTCCTGCCTCTTTCACTTATTAGAAGTGTAATTTAACCATGAAAAATCCCTTAAGACATCTCTGAACCTCATTTTTCTCATCCCCAAAACATGCCTCAATTTAGGCAAACCTAGAGTTCCTATGAGCACTCACTTTCCAGATCTTTCTGAATGTCCATAAAAATGTCATTAATCTATAAATGTGATCTTTTGATAATTTCCTCCTCTTAGTGTTGGGTGTTTGAAAAGCTGTGATTACTGTTGCTTCAGTTCTCATCTTATTTTAAAACTTCTCCATGAAGACTTCCCATTTAGAGTCACTTTCTTCCTCCTCAGTTCTTCCATATCACTGTATGTAACTTAGTTTCTCTTTCTTATCATTACGAGCCTCACATGATAATTACAGAAAATGTTGTTTAGTTGAAAGTCACGGGCTTTAATGTCAGACCAACCTAAGTTTAAACCTTGACGCAAATAACAGGTGACAAGACCATAGAAAAATAATGTTTTGACAATTAGCTTAGGTGAGATTCATTAGCTCAAATTTATAAATAAAAGAGATATGTTTGGAGATGCTATCTCATCATCTCATGTAATCTTTCCATATCAACTACATAACCCGATTGTTGAGCAGGGTGATGGCTCAATATTTGTAGGAGACACAATTCTCTTATAGATAGACCATCAAGTCAGGGGGATTTTAAGTGGCATGACCCCCATACTACTAGGACTGCGTGGAAAATACTGGGACTAGAATATCTTTAATGTCAAGAGTATATCATTTAAACAATAACAACAAAAAGTATACCAGGTGATATATAAATGTGTGTTGACTAAGAAAATAATGAAAATAAACGTCTACTTTACTCATAGAATTTCTGTCTTCTACAATCGTCATAAACAGCAATAACAGCAATGACAACAATACATGCAACATGGTCTGGCCAGCTGAGTAACTTTGCAAAGAAGCTTTGTATAGCAAAAATTTTAAAAAGTACTGGAATAGAGGAAAATAAAAATACGTTGAAAACTATATTCCTTGCAAAATACAATCTACAATTATTGTTTCTACAGAACAATATTTAAAGAAATCTAATCCAGCTTTACAATGTTATGCATTTCATTCTAATTTCAGGTATTGCGAGTCATTATTTCATTCTTAAATAAAAACCGGCATTTAAAATCCTTTACCTTCAATCCAGTTTCTTTCAAAGTTAGATTCAGAAAAACAAAAAGCCACCATTCCAGGTTTTTGGTAGCGTGTGATTGGGAGATGAAAAATTGCAAATATAAATTTATTTCTAAAACCTTGAGTGTGTGTATATAAATATATATGTGTATATAAATATATATGTGTATATATAGTCTTTTCAGTGTTGATATTCATGTTTAAATTGTGAATTTATATCACTTTTATAGTGATGCCCACCGTTACCTTATTTTTTGACTGACAGTGATGGGATTTCAGTCATGCTCAGCCCTTCCAACAGTGCCAGTGATGGGATTTTTTGAAATCTTATTACTGGTTGCACTGCCCTGATCTCAGATGGAACTTTCAATCAAAAAGGCAATCAGTAGGTTATACATTCGTGAGATTCCCTGCAAAGCCAGTGATCACATAATACAACTTGTTGGAAAGGCCTGCTTGCCTCCTGTCTTATGTGGCTATAAAGAGTAATTGGCTACTTAGCTCTCAGCACCTGCTTTTCCTTCTCCAGAATTCAGCATAGCCCAGAACTCTGTTGGGTCTCAGTGTGGAATCTTGCTGCTCCTAGGAGATTTCCAAGTCTCATGCAGAGACTTGTCTTACGTTAAGCATCTGATAAAGCAAAAAACTCTCCCAAAGACACACTTGGCTCTTTCTCAGCATTCTTGTTTCACTGGTGATGCCAGTGAATCTAAGTTTTATTTTATATACATACAAACACTTACCCACACATTTCTCCAAAACACTTTTACTGTAAAGTCCATATTCTAGAAATCACAATTCTGCGTGGCAAGGCTAAACTTGAATTTAATTTCTAGCATATTTTAATCATCCTATTATAAACTATTTTTAATCTTATTACTGTACTCATAAAAGATTATTATAAAGAATGGCTTCAGTACTCCTTAGTATACATATGTGGATGTTTAAAAGACATTTTTGTAATTTGATTTGTTCAAATAGTGAACAGGGGTGAGGCTGAATTGATCCCATGTGGTGTCCAGTCACCCAGGGATGCATTAGTTCCCCAGACAGGGACCTTGAATTGTGAAGTAGGCAGAGGGAGATAATTTTGTCTCACTTGGTTCCAACTCACTGGTTCTTCTCCATTAGGCAGAGAACCCTTGGGCAGGGATAAGTTTCAAGAATGAAAAAAGACTGATGCTTGGGACACAATAAAGACCTACAGACACATTAAAATGCCTATGGACTGAATGAGCATTTCTTTTGCCAAATAACCACACATGTAATATGTAAGACATATGTCAGTATTGCTGTGACAGAAAACAATGCACAGAGACAAAAATAGTCATTTTAATAAAGTTAAAGAATGCATTATTTAAAGAGCTGTGTATGGAATACTCAAATCCTGAAAGTTTAGGAACCCCATCAACCTCTTTTGGTTCAGGAAATTTTAGCAACTCTATTGCCAAAGTAAAAAGTACTTGAAGTCAAGGTAGGGGTATGTGTGTGAGAGTGTGTGTGTATATTCCTCAGATCTTTATTAAATTCAGGGTACTCTAAAAGTATAGTTCATCCCTGTATGAACATGGTATCATTTACTTGATTCCATATTAAAAAAAACCTTAAATGGGCTATTAAGCACAGTCAGCATGATGGTGACAAAGAAAATCAACAAGAAAACCACACTTTCATTCTCTCTTTCTGGGCAAAGTAAATTTTGAGATAAGATTGGACAACTGGTATACCAGATATTATCTCCTGCCCTTGAAAATCACCATATGAAGATTATTTTATTGATTGCCAAGATTGGAAGATATGGATTTCATACTCCTGAAAGCTAGTGTAATTTTTGTTAGACATGTTTATATGTCTCTAACCTATGCCATTTCACTGAAAGGTACACTAGAAATGAGTCTGGTATGCAAGAGATAAGTGAAGTAATAATCTCGCCTTGGTTTAGAATGTGAGATAGTCAGAATATTAGTATTGGTTACTACTAAAACTACCATTAATAATCTGCATTCACCAAGTATTTGCTTTAGTCACTGTGCCAAGTCCTGGTGTATTTTAAAGTCAATTTGGGCCATCATTTTGACTTCATTGAAAAGTGTTCAATAGCCATGATGATAAGCACTAAAGACGAACTATTCTCAGGCAAGAGAAACTCAATAAGGTGTCAGTTAAGTCACTGAGCACTGGGTAGTTGTAAATTCTAAGTATAATAGTCGAACTTCATAAAAATCACAGTGGAGTCAGCCTCCAGAAGTTGGTGCCTTTGGTTTTCTAGCCAAAGCCATACTTTTCTCAGGCAGCCCCAAGCCAATGACTGAGATGGCAGGGCAACTGGAGTCTATTTTTTTTCTTTTTTAATATTTATTTATTTTTGGCTGCATCAGGTCTTAGTTTTGGCCTGCGGGATCTTTCATTGAGGCCCACGGGCTCTTTAGTTGGGGCACACGGGCTTAGTTGCCCTGCGGCATGTGGGATCTTAGTTCCCTGACCTGGGATCAAACCCATGCCCCCTGCATTGGAAGGTGGACTCTCAATCACTGGACCACCAGGGAAGTACCTAGAGTCTGTTTTTTCGCAATGAGAGACTCCTTTAACAGGATTCCATTAAAATCCCTGATTTGCCTTGCAAAGATTTGTCAGGTCTGCTTTGCAGTCTAAGGCTCTCTTGTCAAATCCTGCTTCCTAATCTCTCTGCTTTTACAAGTTTTAAAATCTGCATTCCTGTATGAAAACTTTCCCTGCTCAATCCTGTTTCCTTTCTCTTTTATCTTTTACTCCTAACTCTGATTTAGCGTTTGCTTCCAGGAGGACCCAACTGGCACAGCTGGACTAGCCTTTACATACACTGTGTTTCTTTAATGTCCCTGTTGGTATCTTGCTGTGTGATCATTGCCAAACCATTTCTCATTTCTGGTTCTCTATAATGAAGACTTACAAATAAAAGTGAGCCTTATGATAATTTAGTTGAACGTTCTAGAATTCTAATTAGAGTTGATGACTCTGTTAATCGATCTTCATCTGATGGGAAAAAAAAGTGATGACAACAAAGGTATTTATAAAAATATATTTCACAAAGTAGGAAACAATACAGGAGTTTCTCTGAATACAATACATGGAGTAAATAAACAATATTGCATTAAAGCAAAGTAGAAAATTAAAATGATCTGCATGTAGTACTTGAGTTTTATCATACATTTTCTACTCCTAAATGGCAGGTTTGCATTAAAAATTGAATATGCTCACATCTTCTAGTGCTGTTCTCTTTTGGAGTCTAAGACATTCTGTGCATCACCATGAAGATCAGGGAGAGAAGTGCTAAAAACAGAAGCAGTAAAATTATGTACAAATCAGTTCCTGCTCTAAAACTGTGGAGGCAACTTGAAGCATGTTTATTGGGCAGGGCATTATGTAGGCATCTAAAAGTCTAGAGTTTAAATATTCACATGAATCAGTATACTTTCAGATGTTTGTGCTTGTAGTAAAAACACCAAATACTAGGATTATGAACAAAATAGAAAACAGTCCAAAAGTTTCTCTGGGAAAATGCTGTTCCTGCCATCACCAGTCACAATAACACTTTCTACTCTAAGGAGACTATTAGCTTCCCTTTTGATAATATTGCCTGCCATACTCATCTCATCAAAATGTACATGTATTAAACATTCATTGTATATATATTTATATAAAACAATCTAAAGTATTATTAATGGATATAATTTAGGTTTTTTTTCATATAGTCCCTTAATCTATAGATTACCAACCTTAATAAATAAAAGCATTAATGGACATCAATAAAATATTTATTTCGAGGATTAAACAAATAAATTCACGCGCTAGCAATAAAATCATCTGTCTCTTATGTAGTCCACTGTGTGACACAGTTTATCTTTGTGTCCTTGTGGGAGAAGATGAACTGGGGGGAATGAGTAATCCTGCTTCCAGAGAACAAGCCTGTTTGAATGGGATTTCTCTCCTCCCACTATTGAGTTGGCAGTCCCCACCCTGGAATGGATTACAAACATGTGAATATTTTAAGGCTCGACACAATATTTAAAGATGCTATTCAGTCTCTGATGAATGGGGCCAACAGTTATGTACAAGGTGTGGTCACCGTACCATATAATCTAGGAGGCCTCCCAAAGCTCCAAAAAGTCAGAGTGTACAGCAGACCAAGTATTGCTTTATCATTTGTGGCGGGATCCTTATTGGTGAAGGGGAAAAAACCATTTGCGTTTATAAAAATCCTTGCAGAAGACACATATCAGTAGCAAATTTCTTGCAGGTCCATTTTTCTAAGAAAGCACCTTTTTAAGTTTGATTTTTTCCTCTTTTTAAACCATTTCTCTAAGGACGAGCCAGGATCCCAATCTTTGTGGTGGTCAGGTAAATATCAAATATCCAAAGACTTCTAGACACTCCACATACTTTAATTCACACTCCACAAGATTTATAACCTCCTAACACATACTTTTTTATTTTTATTATTACTTTTTTGGTTCAACATTAAAATGTAGCTGAGTTTATAGATGATTGGTGCTAAACTTGCCTCTAAAACAAATTGCCACATTGGTTGTATCTAAGGGGAGTGACCCTAGAATATTACAGAATGCTCAGTTCCCACTGATTTATTCATAATCCACTGTCAAGTTTCTTTGTCACTTTCACCGACAGAGTAGAGTTCACCCAGTCTCTTAAAGCGGGGACCCCAGTCACTGAGGTAGTCAAAATTCTGATCTGAGTCTGAGGTGGTGGACTCCAGGGAGCTGAGGGAGCCGGCCACAGACCCTCGGCCTTCATAGCCATAAATCTGAATGGAGTCATACGGTGGGGCTGTGGGGTCGTTATCTGCCTCGTGTAGCCGCACATTTATAAATTCATCCACATCCACACCGCTCGGAACTGGAGCAAGCCCTTGCCTTGGCATAAATTGCAAATCTGGTTTAATATCTTTACGGGGTAAAAATCCATTAATTCCATCTGGGTTTTGTAAAGTTGCAATGTCAAAAGCCTCCGTGTCTTCTTCCCCTCCTCCTTCGTCATCGTAGCGAATGATGTTTTCTCGCACATCTTCATCATCTTTGATAATTAAAGGCTCGTTTTTATGTCGCCGCAGAGTCACAAACAGCACCACGATGACTACAGGAAAAACACAAAATAGCGATTAGTCAGACTCAGGTATAATTTCACAAGCAACGCATCGTGTATGTTAAGAGAGAGGGGCGCTATTTAAAAACTTACTGAGCACGTACCTTTCATGCATTCACTTGGGAATTAAGTGAAATACCTTTCTGAAGTATGAGCACTGAATTTTGAGTGAATACTATTCCAGGTTGCTTCTGTTTATTAAATGGTGATGAAGAAGCTGGGTTAAAAGCACAAGTTTGCATCTATTTATGGTGAAAGCTACATTTAATACCGTTAGGAGCTCTAGAGTGAACGGCCCAAAAAGGGAAACAGCACCAATAGCATAACTAACTTGCTGTGTGTCTTGGGCAGTTTGTTCAATACTTTTTGGCTCCATGACCCTCTTCTATAAAGAAAAAGGAGCTGAATAGATCATATTCAGTACATTTTGTGTTTTTTAAAAATCAGTCCTTCAAGACTCTTTCCAATAAAATAATGTCCATTCACAGATGAAATGATACATTAAGGTGAATGTCAACTTTGCATGGGCAACTTCTTCTCTTGTATGAAAGCTAGCACTCCACTATCTGGTAAGGTAGGACTACGGGTCGGGGAAGGGAGAGGAACACATAAAAAACTAGCCAGATCAGCCACACCAAACTTGGGCTAATGACATTAAAAAAATGTGGCAGGAAACGATGATCAACTCAGGGTACTGGGTGAACAGAACAGATGTAACCAGGAAGGTAAAAACTGACATAACCTTCATCTAAGGGCAGGATAAGATATAACTTTCCTTTTGTGTGTCTTCCTACTGTCTAATCTCATTTTTATAATTGGATTTTTTAGTAGAAAAGTTACAAAAACTTTTTCTTATTTTGCAATCTTCATCTAAATTTGATTGTAGTATCAAGAAAAATATCTGAGAAACAATGCAATTTTGAAGAAAATGTATTTTTTGTTTGCTTGGGGTTTTTTTGTTTGTTTTTATCTTGCCAAATTTTGTGATTGGATGGACTCAGTAACCCAATCTATACATTGTTTAGATAAAAGAGTATTTTGGACATATGTTTGCCCCCATTGAAGTAAACTGGCGTGTATCAGAAGATCTGGAGGCCTTCTAATGTAATAGTTGCTGTTGTAACCACATAAAGGTCCATCCCCACTTCCACCACCATTATGCTTAGTCTTTTCGCCAGTGATGGGATTAAAAAAGGCACTGAATAGTTCTCTCCAATTGAATATTTACTATTACAATTCTTTTTTTTTCCCTTCTCTTAGTGACCTCAAAGCTTGGAGAAGTATATACAAAGGAATTTTTCTTCCAAAGAATGCTAATTAGGGTTTTCTAGGCTGGGTTAGGGTTTTCTGTCCTTCTTTACAGTCATTTATGAACCAGAAAAATGGTGACCATTCGGCTATGAAGAAAATACATACCTAGCAGCAAAATGATGCATGCTAATATGGCAATTAAGGCGCCCATACTGAGTCCAATCGGAAGTACATAAGCTTCAACATTACAAGACTGGACAACACCATCACTGCTGCAGCCACAGACCCGGATGGTCAGGGTGCTGGTGCTGCTCAGAGGAGGATTCCCGCTATCACTGATTATGATTGGTAAAAGATAGACTTCTTGCTTCTGGCGGTTGAATCCATTATGCTTTGCCAAAATGCTGAGGGAATTATCTGGAAAAAGTGAAAATTACAATAGTTTGCATCATTTCAAAACGGCTGCCCAAACAACACTTGTTTTTCTAGTTCATAAATCCTCTGCAAGCCTCAAGACAATCCCAACTCCACTGAACCACTCCAGCTCTCTCCCTCTCCCCTTTCCCACTTTCCCAGTTGGCATGGACCAAAACATCCACACCCTAACAGGTTCAGTGAGCTTGGTCTAGGATAAACTAATGGAGTTTTACCACCACCTTGTAAATGCAAAAGATTTCTTTTACAAAAATGATCTTCAAGTGTCCTTTTAGAAGACACAAATTACCCCAAGTCCCCATAAATAAGTTTAATGTTCTCTCATTTGTCCTGATAATGCAAACGTGACAGAATTTCATCACATTTGAAAGTCATGTTTGAGAAGCTTTGTGTTAAAAGTAGACTATATGACAGTATGGCATACAAAACAATGCATTTGACTCTCACAGATACCTAAAAACACTTACTCATGCTCTAGAGCATTTTACACTAACACATAACAAAAGTCCCATTTACTGCCAATTGGAGGAGATATGCCACATATTTTAAAATTCTGCAGAGAAGACCTCTAGTGGTTACACAAGTAAGAATTAAGTGATGAAAAGTCATAGGAGCAGGTGGTCCATTTTTAATGTATTAATTAATCATATGGAAATGTATATTGGTTATCTGGAGCAACACTTAAGGACATTTAAGCAATACTTAATGGCATACTTCAGCTCGATGTAGAACTGGCCAGTGAGAAGTGATTGGTCCCGTGGTAGCGCTATTGTTCTCAAAATTTCACCCCCAAAATGAACTCTTTATTGTCACTCATCCCTATCTCATGAACTATAGCTATATATGTGTGCATATATGTATATATATATAAATTATTAATCTATTTTCTCATTTTGATTAATGAAAGACATAGGTCTATTCAACATGGGAACACTGATTATTTCACACTGATATTCCAGCCAAAAGCAAATAAACATAACTTTGGTTAATGTGTGCAGTACAATTTGGGCAAAATGATTATTTCAGTTGGGATTTTTTCAAATATTGGCAAGTTTGCAGACCCCAGAACTCTTGTCTACCTCGTTGTTGCATATTAAGGCAGGCATTCCAAACCATTGCTGTCCAGTTCCTGGTCATCAGTGTCCTACTGGTTTCCAGAATACACAAATACATGAATAGATATTCCACTCAAGTGATTTTAAGTAAATGTGTTAAATCTTCTGAACCATATAGTACTATACCAGAATTCAAAAAAAAGTGACATTCCCTAAAATAAATGTATAAATTATATTTGTTTTTGCTTTAAGATATATGTGGACCTACAATGCCTTGCTAGTAAGCAGTTAAAGAGAAAAGAAAAAGAAACTCTGAGTTAACTTTTTTTTTCTAAATGATTGCTGGTTGTGCCTCATTATTTAGTAATTTGAAGGGTGAAAAGAAGTCTCTAGTGGAAGTAAGCAGTGGTATTCCAAATGATCTAGTCATCTTTATTTCCATGACATAGAAGGAAATAGCACTAAGCTAAAAGCAGGAGAACACCATCTCAAAAAAGATACAGAATATATAGCTGTGTTACATTTCCAGAAAGTGTGTGACAAGACTGAATACAGTTAAAATTAGTACAAGCAACATTTGTGGGTGATTTCGTATACCATAGTTCAAAACAGAAGATGGGAATTGTTCTTCAAGATGCAATTAATAAAATTACAACGAGGCTTTTGTCTTTCTGTGGTCAACATTATTTATATGAGAAACTATCTTTGCATATTCGCTCTTTAAAACGAACTATAATGATAATTTAGAAACTGCAGCAGGAGTATTACTCATTGCAGAACAAAACCATCTCCTTTATTACTTAGAAAAGCATTGATGGGTCTAAGACCAAACTCATACTCATTTTTTTACTACTCCTGGTATCTGTACGTGTTACTCCCTTTCTATATAAAGAAAATTATTGACTGAGTAAAGGGAGTCTATGAGTCATTTTTGCTAAAATTTACCTGCTACTTCCAGGCAAAGTCAACTCCCTATTTGCCTATTAATTTTTTACCATATTTTTGATTGGAACTTGCATTTATTAATTATTTAGTTATTTCATTAGGCCAAATTGAATTGTCATTATTTTAACACTCAAAAAAACATTGAATATTAGCAGTTTCACACACTTCAAATTCATGTATTTGAAATACATGTTTCTTTCAATCTACATGTTGCAAATATCTTTAACAAAGTTCTGGTTTGTTTCTTTAAAACATATGCCTTTTCATTTTATTAAAATTTTAATCTCAATGTAGTCAGTTTTATCCATCTCTTTAATGATTAGTCATTTAGCCTTATTTTTTAAATTATTAATTATATAAAAATTAGTTCTCATAATGTTACCTTTCACATTTAAACAATTGTATGGAATTGGTTTTTTCTGTACTGATTATTGATTTTTCCAAGGTTAATTATAGAGTAACTTATCCCTTACCCACTGATCTTCAATTCTCAGTCTCTCACAAATCAAATTTTTTTGCATCTTCATCCTTTTAGGCTCTCTATCATGTTCCAATGCTCTGTTTTTCTAATCCTGCATCAATACCATGCTTTTTATGTATGAAAAATTTGTAATAAATCTCGATGTTTGTTAGGGTATTTTCCCCTGTCGTGTTCTTCTTTAGGAATATTTCAGCTATACTTGTTCATTTGCTAATCTCTGACAAATATAGAAGAGATTATCAAGTTCCGTGAAAATTCCTATACGAGTTTTAGTAGAAATTATATTAAGATGTAAATAAATTGAGAGAACTGACAGCTTTATTATGTTTAGTCTTCTATACCAATATCGTGGTTTCTTTATTTTCTTTAATATATGTTAAAACGTTTTTATTTTGGCTACAAGAGATTTTCACATATTTTTTACACTTATTATTAGTACTGCATGTACTTTGTTTCTTTAGTAAATATTACCTTTCTAAAATTATATTTTCATCTCATTGTTCATCTGATTGTTTTATGCATTGATTTTAATTCTAGTAAACTTCTAAACCTTTTTTTTTACTTATAAAAATTTATCTCAACACAGAGATATGTGTGAGGAGCATGATAATATGAGGAACTCCATGGAATTGCTTCCCAGTGGAACTGGGGAGAATTATAAAATAACATTTAAAAAAATTAGTGTCTCTGGAAATGGTCCTGGAGACAAGCAGCAAATGCAGAAATGTTTATTCAAGAAAATCTATTAGAGTCTGGTAGGAATGATGAGAATGTAGTTTGTCAACCAGAACCTAGTTCCTTCATCCCTTCTCTCAGCTCTGCGA